CTCAGCTGCAGAAGCGCCTTCTCCAATGGCCTCCGAGCAAATCACTTCAGTGAGAACCAGCCCCAGTGAAGAATTTCAAGGAGATGTAAGAAAACACCCGGGCTGTAAAGTTGCCATGACACCTGACGGGCCGGTCCCTGGAAGAGACTCGAACGTGACCCTTTTGACACCGGCCTGGTGCTGTGCCAGTGTGACACCAACCAGTGTCAGCCCACATTAAAATGGTTGGTTGCTTACCATGATCAAAGTCACTTTTTCTCCCCAAGTGGCACGTTGAAGGGAAAACAAGCCCATTTTCTGACTTTAACCCCCAGAAAGTGGAAAAAAACACCATTAACCCGAAGAAACCTCATTCTCTGACTTCAACCCCCTCCCCCCCAAAAAAACAACAACACCAATGACCGAGGCGGCGAGCTCGGGTCCCTCTGGCCGGAGGACTCCGGGCCTCCTCCGCGGAAGCTCTGGCCATAGCCGCCGCGGCGGCCTGAGCAGCCGCCGCCGGCCCCACCTGGGCGCGGAAAGGCCTCCGAGCTAACTTACCCCTCAAAACTCCAAGCCCTGGGGAAGTTCTCTTTTTTTACAGACATATGGCCCATGTTACCCAAAAAGCTGGAAAGTTGGGTTTTTGAGAGGTAAGCCTATGGAAACGGGCGGTCTCCACGGCACGGCGCGAGCAGTACCGGTGGCACCTGACAAAAATGTTTGAAGCGCCGCCAGGTTCTTAGACTGTCCCAGTTGGCATCACTCTACTCCATACCGTCGCCGGGTCTCCAAATGCCCCGTTTGACGGGTGCCTTCCTTTGGACTCTTTCTCACGGCGTCCGGCAAGTGCCCTCAAAGAGAAACACGCCCCCGAATGGGCATCCAAAGGGGGCACGCTTTACATGAAGAGATGGCGTGGTCAGGAACTCTTGTCGCCAGAGTGCGCCACATGATCATACTGCACGAGCCCTCCTGCCCCCTTTTCTGCGCATGTGCTTTGCATGGTGAAGCTGGAGATGCCTGGCCCGCTTGGTGGTTTGGAAAGAGACTGTTGGGGGAGTTGGTTGCCACCACGACATCTGGGTGCCGGCTCAACCCCGGCGCAAACAGCAAGAGATCCAGGGCCGGCTGGGAAAAGTAAGGCGTGACTCGAGGCAAATACCTGAAACGATAAAAGGTACATAGCATCTTTGACCTATTTGGCTGTGGGTCAAAAATAGGTACCCAAAATGGATTCCTGGTACGTGGAAACATGGACTAAAACCTGCGGTCCCCAGTGTTTTAATTTTGACCCATACCCATTCACCCACTTGCCTAGCCGATTGCCTCCAAGCTTGGCCGTTCCAGCTTTGGTGACACATGCAACTTAGTTGCCAAGTTTCAAGGGGAAGTTCTTTGGCCCACTTTGGGGTTGCCCGGAAACTACCGGAGTGCGCTTCCAACCGCTCATCCACTTCAGAGCCCATGGCCCTCTGGCTGAAAAAAACGTCCACACGCGCTGGGCAAATGGAAGCAACCGTCAACGAATTACTGTCGCACTACTGCAGCATATCTTGCAGTTGCGTTTGGCTGACTTGAGCACAACCCTTCCCCTCATGTTGGCAGCAGAAGTCCTTCTTGCTGTATGACCAGTCCACTTGCCAATTCTGGAAGCCCGCGCTGCAGTCATACCTCGGTGTGGATGGTAGGCTTTATGCTGTGCGCTGTGTGTGACTTGTCATGAAGAATCATGCCAGGCTCTCTGCAGGCGGCACTCAGCCACTTGTGGAATGAATCAATGAACCACCTTCAGGCCGAATTGCGATTCAACATGATGCTGCTCCGGGACATCGAACAGAGGGTGCTGCAACTATGTGATACAGGAACAGGAAACGTACCCAAGAAATCATGTCCTAGACTATCTTGCTCGCTCAATCGCACACCCTCGCACTGCAAGGCTGCTCGGTGTTGTCGGCATCGTGGCATCCGCGGCTTTGATGGAAGCAGCACCAGACTTTCTTCGCCTGCATAGGTGGTCGCTTGCATTCATAGACCCATTAGCAACTGTACAAGCCTGCCAATACTTCAAGCCTTCACAAGACAGGCCAGACAAATTGACCTGTATTGTTGGCCCCGAACATGTCGGGATACGCTGTACGGTTGATCCCGGAGAAGTGCATCACTTGACGCGTTCAAACTCAACATGACTTCCTGGCGCGTGCAAAGCAAAAACGCATGTGTGTCTGTGTGAGATGGGCGTGATGGTCTTGATGGTCTGCCCCTCTTTGCGGATTCGACCACCTTGCACATCAAGCATTCAGCACATAGGCAAACCTATTCTTTGAGCATCTCGCGGGCACGGACCATCTCCCCACAACAGAGAAATTTATCATAAATGGAATTCCAGGGGTCACCCCCCTCCCCTAATTCCATATTTATGGTCACCCTCACCCAATTCCATTTTTAAGGTGGTGGGGATCTTCCTACATTCCCGGCCATACAAGGTTCACCGGCGCCGAGTGCACCGAGCGCCTGGGGCCAGTTGTCCTTCCAACTCGCGTAGCCAGCTGCACAATCGTACTTGGCATTGGAGTCTGGGCATGCCACTGACGCGTGGAAACCTGTGCGTTGGGAAGTCAACAACTGCCATCCGCTGCCAGCCCTACCAGGCGTGGATGGGCGAGCCTTTACTTGCTGCTTCGATAGGGAATGAGAATTGGAATGCCCCCCAGAATAAACAAATCTCTTTTTGGGACCTGAAGGGCCAGGATGGCTTATCCTGGTTCTTTTTCTTGGGGTCAGCTTTGTGTTGGGTAACTAGGGTGGGTGGGTGTAGTGGCTATATGTGGCTATGCCGTCTCTCATTGCTCGAGGGAAAGACTTGCCGGGCAATGCAAAGATTACTTGCAGTTCAGCAGCAGCACCACTCCTTCTTGCCCTGCGGCCAGCTGAGCCGCGAGACATATCCCTCTGCACAGTCCTGAGCTTAGACATGCTAATGATAGAAATGCTTAGAAATGCTTAGACATGCTGAGCACGCTGACAGAACACAGGAGGAAAGGGGGAAGCGAGGGGAGGGGAGGGGAGGGGAGGGAGAGGAGGGAGGGAGGGAGGGAGAGGAGGGAGGGAGAGGAGGGAGGGAGGCAAGGAGGCAAGCAGGCAGGGAGGGAAGGGTAGAGGGATGGGGAGAGGGGTAGGGACAGAAAAAAGAAACAAAGAAAGAAGGAAAGAAGGAAAGAAGGAAAGAAGGAAAGAAGGAAAGAAGGAAAGAAGGAAAGAAGGAAAGAAGGAAAGAAGGAAAGAAGGAAAGAAGGAACGAAACGATAAAAACAAAAAAGAAACCAAAAGAAACACACAAACACACACCTAATAATTAGCTTGTTGAGAGAGCTAGAGAGAGAGAGAGAGAGAGAGAGAGAGCGAGAGAGAGAGAGAGAGAGAGAAAGAGAGAGAGAGGGAGACAAAAAGAGAAAGAGAGGGAAAAAGAGATGGAGAGAGCTAGCGAGAGAAGACAAAGCAAAAGCCGAGTCTCATACGCCGCTGGCTGCGCCACCTGCCCACTTGGATCGGCTTGCTTCAGGGCTTGACAAATTCTGAAAGGGCAGCAAAATGATTGAAGCAGGCAGTGTGCTTGTTTTGCTGGTCCATGAGTGGGATCTGCCTCAGACCAAGAAGCCTTTGGCTCCAGGTATGCCCCAAGGAGCGGGCACTCATGTCTGACATTGCATGAGTGGCTCAGTCCAAGCTATTTCCGGGCACTCAGGCTCAAACTGCCTCGTGGTCAACCAGGCCGTGCATGCCCGCGTCGACTTTCGCCGCCTTTGCCTGAACTTCAGGACTGCCTCTCTCTCGTACCTTGTGCACCTTCTCGCAGTGCCGACGGAGGACGCCCTTGTAGGCGAAACTCTTGTCGCAAATGCTGCATTTGAAGTCCTTCATGTTCGCATGTGCGGTTCGGACATGCAATCGCATGGCAGGCTTGGACATGAAGGTGAGGGGACAGCCCTCCTGCTGACACCGCACTACAACCTGACGATGCACAACATCTATGTGGTGCTTCAGCTGCTCAGGCCTCTTGCCTACCCAGCCACACTCGCAGGCGTATGTCTGTGGATGCTGTTCCTTTCGGTGCTTCACCATTGCCAGGAAGCTGTCAAAGATCTTGTCGCACTTGGTGCACTTGTACTTCTTCTGCTTCTTTCCCTCGCATCCCCGGGCGTGCTGCGAGACGATGTGCTTCTCCAAATCCTCGCGGTACTTGAAGGTCTGGCCACAGTCCGGGCACTTGCCTGGCTCGATCTGCGCTCCTCCAGCGTGCTCGTGGACCAGCTGCCAATGTCTTTGGAGCTTGGCCTTCTTCCGAAAGCGTAGGCCGCAGGCCTCACAGCTCAGGCCGTTGTGGACGCACCTCACGTGCTTGTGAAGGTCCGCTTTCCGGGCAAAGGTCCTGTTGCAGTCATTCACTACGCACTTGAAGGGCTTCGATGCCAGGTGGGCCGATTTGTGCATCTCCAAGTCATGCTTCCTCTTGTAAGACTTGTCACATCCAGGGTGGTCGCACTTGAACTTCCTCTCAGCTGTGTGGAAGTAGATGTGCTTGTGATACCTGGTGCTGGTTGGGAAGGACTTCCCGCAGTGAGGACAAGCCCTCGGATACGTAACATGCTCCTTCACCGGTGAGGCTTTGGTTCGACGTTTTTGTGCCTCAGAGCGATCGGATGATGACGTCATGTGGCTAGAATGCGGCCATGGCTTTCCACTAAGTGGCTGGCAATGTGACAACAAGCTCCATTGTGGCACATGTTGCGCTGCAAGCTGGAGAAGAATGCTTCTCGTGACACCGTCTGAACGAACTGCCATGCTCCCTGCATCTCCCTGCTAAAGACCTTTGCCGCTAGATGTTGCGGTAGTGCATCCCTGCTCTTTCGCTACAAGCATCGGACAACCGGCTCAGTGGTCATGCACAGCGCTGTCACAGCCCCCAGGCAAAGCCCACCCGCCCCCAATTCGGTCTCTTCTGGATACTGGGGCGCTCCACGTGAAGAACCACAAACATAAGCCATAAGGTGGGCAAGAATTTGCGCAAGCGTCATACTTGAGAAGGGGCAAATCAAACAGAAGGGGCAAATCGAAGGCACCAGCATTTTGTTTAAACAAATTATTTTGCAAAGAGAGCTAACTCTTTGTCTTGAGTAGTTCCTTTCCGATGCCGGAAGCGCAATTCGGCATCGACCCCCCGATACCGAAGCTTGCAAACCAGGAATGCCAATGTGGAAAGCCCAAACAAGCATTTGGCTCGTGCGTGTAAGGGCGACCTGCAATGCATGTGGAACACCAGTTTGGTCACAGGAACTGATGCCCTTGCCTGGAGCTTCAATTTCCAGGGTTCCCATTATGAAAGGCTTCAAATTCCATTGCACCGCGTTGACCGACCTCCAACTGCCACTCCTAGGAAGTCCTGGTCTCTGTGGAAAAAATGTCGAGCCGATGCCCATCGAGTCGCTTCATTGCACACAGGGCCCCATCCTTTCGCAAGGGAAGGCCTCT